GCCAACTTTTCTCTCCATGCCAGTGGACCCTGGCCACCGGGGGGAGGTCAAGGTTGGCTGCAGTGCGGAGGGCTCTGTTCCCCTCGTTGAGGAGAAAGACCCTATCATTCCCGGATGTCTTAGCAGCGAGGGCAGCGGCTTTCGTAGCAGTAGCTGCAGCAGATCGATAGCGGAAAGGGAGGACTGCGATTTCCGCACAAGCAGCGTCTGCAGGCGTGGAAGGTAGAAGGCCGGATACGATGCGTACGTAGGTATTGTATACCGGAGCGAGGATGCGGTTCAGCTTCTCGGTGGCCAAGCAGGTAATTTCAATGCCGTAGAAAAGTCGACTGTCGATAACAGCCCGGGCGACACGAAGGCGGATCTCGCGGTTACTGGAGCGGTGCGGATGGGAGATTGTCCTGACGATGTTGATGCGGCTACGACAGTTTTCTTTCACCGATCTGAAGTGCTGGTCGAAACTTAGAGTCCGATCCAGAACTACCCCCAGAACACGTACTGTTTTCTTAAGCGGAATTGGATGGTCCTGGATGGTGATCGGTGGTTCCCGAATCAGATGGCCCGAGTGGCAGATATGGCACCGTACACTCTTTGGAGCGGAGAGCTGGAAACCAACAGAAAGCGCCCACCTGCTGACGGCGGAGACAGCTGCTTGGGCAATATTCCTGGTCCGTTTAGTCGTTCGTCCCGTTACGACGATGAGTATGTCATCGGCATAGACGATTACGTGCACGTTCTTGGGCAGTCGGCTGAACACCCCGTTCATTGCCACCAGGAATAGCGTAACCGCTATGACGGATCCCTGGGGCACTCCACTTTCCTCGGGGAACGGATCCGATCGAGTGTTCCCGACAGTCACCTGGAAGGTACGATCAAGGAGGAAATTCCGTACAAAGTGCGTGATGTGGCCTTTCAGGCCCCAGCCGATGAGCTGCCTGATGACGCCAGGCGTCCACGTCCTGTTGAACGCCTTTGATATATCAAGGGATACTAACTCCGCATGGTGACCGTTGTCCTGGGCTTCCTTGAGTACATTCCCGAGGGCTGCAAAGTAAGTGGAGGAGCCATGTCCTTGCCGGAATGCATGCTGCCGTTCGTCAAGGAGACTGTTAGACTCCAGGAACTGCCTAAGTCGACGATTTACCATTCTCTCCATCACTTTTGCCGCGCAGCAAGTGAGCGCAATCGGCCTAAAGGAGGAGGCTTCTCCACTCGCCGCGTTGTTCTTCGGAATGGGCACTACCAGGCTTTGTTTCCAGAGGTCCGGATACGAGTCAGTGAGCCATAGGTCGTTGAAGAGGGCGAGTAGCCTCGTTTTTCCGTCGAGGGAGAGGTTTTTAACACCGGGTATCCAATCTCGTCCGGTCCGGCAGATTTACCGAGGGCAAACTGAAGCTCCCGGAAGGTAAGAGCATCGTTGATCTGGAGGGAAGGGACATCGGGTGGAATTCGCAGGTCACGAATGCTGCTTGTGGAAGGTTTGACGCGCTGGACGAAATCGCTGTCGTAGCCACTGACAGCGGACAGGCCGGCAAAATAGTTCCCTAAATTGTCAGCGATGTCCTTCGGTTCTGAGATCGTGGTGCCATGAGCTTGGATAGTAGGTGGAGTAGACCGCCGCTTGCCACTCAGAGCGTTGAAGCGATTCCACAAGTCGCTCGACGATTGGGATTCATCGATTGAATCCAGGAAATCCATCCAGCTGGATCGCTTTGCGTCACGGATCACCTGTCTGCACGAGAGATGGCGTTCTCGGTAGACCTTCAGTGCTTCCTCCCTACCAGGATCGTCTAAGGCTAGGCGCTTAAGCCGGCGTAAGGCTTTGCGTCGCGCTTTTACCGCACATTTGGTATCCTCGTTCCACCAACGTAGGGCTTTTCGCCCGGGTACGCTACTAGTCCTTGGGATGGATAGTGTTGCAGCGTCGTAGAGTACTTCCGTGAACCTGGAGATGTCGTTCGGTTCGCGTTGCTGAAAGAGAGCGTCGGATTTCTCCCTGAAGGCGTTCCAGTCGGCTTCCTCGAAGCGCCACCTGGGTCTCCGAGTCGTTGGGGGAACCGCACCTACGGAAAGCTGTATGCGGATCGGGTAGTGGTCACTACCGTGCAGGTCGGTACTGATATTCCACTGTGCCCTGTCCACTATAGATCGGCTGGCAGTGGCAATGTCGATCGCGGTGGTGTGCCGTCCATTAAAAAAGGTGGGAGCGCCATCGTTCAGCACCACCAAGTCCTCTCTCTCAAAAATGCTCGCCAGGATAGAACCTCTGGGGTCTGGGCGAGGGCTGCCCCAGTCCAGATGGTGCCCGTTGATGTCGCCGACGAAAAGCCGCGGTTCCGGAAACTTGGAAATAACTGCACTTAAGTCTCTATCCAGATTGGCTGTCCGTACTTGGTATTGGGACGCAATGATGTTAACTCCATGGCAGCCCCTAGTCCCCCCACCACAGACGAGTTTTCCCGCCTTCGTTTACCAGTCGTCCTGACCCTGTGTGTGGGATTGGAGATGGGGTCTTCAAACCCGCTATGCACGATGTTTCCACGATCTCCAAGAATAATGCTGCTACCTCTACTGCTTAGTCTGCATCATCACCACAGAGACGCATCGTGGATAGCACTGTGGAAGCCCCCAATTTCTCTGCCTCAGTCGCGCTTATTCCAGCCAGCACTCAGCATAGTCGTCTCGGCCCTGAGTGTAGATGTAGGTAACCAATGGTTCAGAAATATGTCTACGCGTCTGTTAAATTAAAGCCTTTCTTGTTTTTCAAAATGTCGCTATTGAAAATTGCACGAACATGCAATTGTTGCTATGATAATTAAAATTATCTCAGATTTCCTGCGAAAAGCGATTTCCCTAACACAGATTTCAAAGTTGAATTTCATTCGGTCTCACCAAACGGTGTTTATTCAATCACCGCGTGGTGAGTGGTGGTCATCATCGATTCTCTGCTTGTCCGTCAAGCAGTTCAATCCAGTGTTTGCTCGGTCTGTCGAGTTGTTCGATAATTTATTCCAAACGTTTATTCGCGTCGTCAGTAGTGTCGGTCGCATCGTGTAATGGGAAGACAGCGCTCCCGGAGCAGACTCCGTGAGAAAGCGGAGAAGAACAGTGGTGAGGGTTCCTATCTCAAATAGGTACGCTACTCTTCCCACCGATGTTAGGAATACCACCTCCGCCACGGTGAAGCGATCCAAGAAGAAGAAGAAAAACCAAGGCCAGTCCGATGGTGCGAGTGGACGTGATGACGTCACAGCAACGAACGCCAGCGACATCGGTGATTTCGGCGACACCTTCGACAACGAAAATTCTGCTGGTCCGAGTGTGGAAAAAGTGAAGCTACCTCCATTGGTAGTGACAAATGCTCATCTTAATAAGCTCATCACGGATCTAGCGACCCTGGGCGTTAAAGTCGAATACAAGTTGGGCAGAGTCGGCACCAAGGTGGTGCTCCGTACCAAAGCTGAGTATGACTTGGTCGTCGCCCACCTGAGGGCTTCCAAGGCGCCATTCTTCACCCATGACATTCCCGTTGAGAAGCCATTCAAGGTCGTCATCAGGGGCCTACAAACTTCGACCCGAAGTTTATCGAAGCTGAAATCAGGGACCGGTACAAGCTGGCCCCAAGTGCCGTCTATCGGATGACAAGAAGAGACGAGAATGTGAAGGCGTATCAGGATTGCCTTTTCCTGGTACACTTCCAGAAGGGAACGGTGACGCTCAACGCACTGAAAGCCATACGCTCCATCAATTGCATCATCGTCCGCTGGGAGCCATACCGTGGTGGCCATCGTGATGTAACTCAGTGCCAACGGTGTCTGAACTTCGGACACGGCACCCGCAACTGCAACATTGAGCCACGCTGTGGCAATTGCGCTCAAGACCACGCCACTTCTGACTGCCCTGGGGATGGAGCCGTGGCGTTAAAATGCGCCAACTGTGGTGGTGCTTACCAAGGATCCAACAAGCAGTGCCCTAAACGCGAGGATTTCAAGCGCATCCGAAATCAGGCATCCACCAACAAGCAACCAGCACGAAGGAAGGATAAGGCCCGGGCTTTCAGGGCGGAGGACTTTCCGCCCCTTCATGGACAAGCGAATCCAAGTGCCGCAATAAGCTCGAACAGATCCAAGTGCTCGATAAGTTCATCATCCAGTATGGTGTCTAAACCGCTAACCATCGCTACCTGGAACGCTTGCTCTGTAAAAGCAAAACAGATTGAGCTTGCCGACTTCCTCCGCAAGCACAGCATCGACGTGGGCCTTCTAACCGAGACCCATCTAAAGTCCGGCGACAGCTTCTGGTTGCCTGACCACAACATTATCCGGCTTGATCGCACCAGCTTCAGGGGGGGGGGGGGGGTGGTGCAGCGGTCATCGTCAGAAAGGGAATCAAGTTCTGCACTCTGCCCCACGTCCGCACTTCTATCATCGAGGCCATTAGTGTGGAGGTGGAATCACCAACTGGAAACGTCCGGTTCATCGCTGTTTACTGCCCACGCCAGTGTACCGCAAGCAACGGATTAGGAATCCAATTCAAGAAGGACATGACCGCCATCAGCCGTACTAGCTCTCGATTCATCGTTGGGGGCGACCTGAACGCCCACCATGAAGCTTGGCGGAACTACCAGAGGAACCAAAACGGATGTCTATTGTTCGACCACGCACAACATGGACTGTACACTGTGTAATTTCCGGACGAACCAACTTTCATCTCTCCCTTGGAGAATCCCTCCACCCTGGACTTTTTCCTGTCAAACATCGGACTATCCAAGACGGAGGCGCACAACGATCTCAGCTCCGACCACCAACCGGTGGTGACTGAAGTCGGTGTCAACGTGGTTCCTGCTAGAAGCTACCTGCGTAAAGACTACCACCATGTCAACTGGGTGCAGTACGGACGAATGGTGGACAGCAACATCGATGAAAATCCACTGCTCGACACCGTAGATGACATCGACGGTTGGAAGGACTCCAACAGGCCATATCCGAGGCTGACGAGAGATGCGTTCGACAAATTCCTGTGAGGGGTAAGTTTGATGCTATTGATTCCCACACCCAATTACTGATGTGGTTGAGACATGTTCGTAGACGCCAGTTTCAGAGGACTGGAGATCTGGGCAAAAAACGTGAAATGGCCGATCTGAACACAGACTCACAGGAACAAAATTCAGGTCGCCAGAATAGAGTGCTGAGGATGATCCTTGATCGTCCCTTTGACACTAGAATAACAAATTTACACGAAGAGGCAGGAATTGCCAAAATAGATTCAAGAATTAACGAAATTAAGACTAAATTTGCAGAAAAATGTAATTTATCAGAACATGCTTTGATAAGCAATTTGTATATAGTAGGTTAGATGTATATAGTAGTTGTAGGTTAGTTGTAGTTGTAAATAGTAGTTATAAGTAGTCTCCTTTTTCCAATTCAAATCAAACCAATCCCACCAAGGTGGTCATTCTTTAAAATAGGCCTGATAGGACTAGGAACTGTAAATAATAATTAAAATCTCAAATGTACTAAAGTTGAAAAGACGCATCTGTGTCACTTGAAAATTCATACATGTAAACCACACAAACACAAGAAATAAGGATCATTTAAAGTCAAAAAAAAAGAAACGACTATCAGTTATTCTCTACCGAAGCGAACAGCCAAACTATGGCACCGAAAACCAGTGGCCGCCAAGAAGTCCGGAAAGGCGCAGAAAGTCATCGTCAAGGGAGAGAAGAAGAAGAGGAGACAGCGCAGGAAGGAAAGCTATGCAATCTACATAAACAAGGTGTTGAAGCAGGTCCACCCGGACACCGGAGTCTCGTCGAAGACCATGAGCATCATGAACAGCTTCGTCAATGACATCTTCGAACGTATTGCTGCTGAGTCGTCCCGTCTGGCTGCTGTCCGTCTGCTGCTGCCGGGTGAGTTGGCCAAGCACGCTGTCTCTGAAGGAACCAAGGCCGTCACCAAGTACACTAGCTCCAAGTAAATTCGTACCATCCAAAGAATCAATCGGCCCTTTTCAGGGCCACAAATCGATTTCCAACGTGAAAGAGGTTTTGATGATTTATTGAACTTTTAAATGTTCAAAAGCAGGGCTTGAAGTACTGGGCGAATTCACGGACCAGACGCTTGAAAGGCAACTTGCAGTCAGCAGCTCGGTCGATTTCTGGTAACGACGGATTTCACGCAGAGTGACAGTTCCTGGCCGGTAGAGATGAGACTTCTTCACTCCTCCGGTGGCCATCTGTTTGAGAGGAGCCTTTCCTCCGGTGGACTTACGAGCGAGCGGTCTGCTTGGTGCGGCCATTATACACAATCTGTTGAATACAAATGTTAATTACCCAGCACAATCATGGGCATTGGCTCCAAGCAATATTTCTTCCAGACAAATCTTTTCGATAGTAAATAGAACAGAAAATGAAAGTATAAAAACGAGGTAAGGAAAATAATTAAAATATGGTACAGATTAATACCTGGCTCAATAAATTTACATCACCATTTATTATAATAAGACCATGTAGTCCTACGTCACCATTGCGTACAACCCCATAGGGCTGTCCCTTGTAGTTTTTTTTTTTAAGTTTTTATTGTTTGTAGACAGAGGGCGCAATATGTTTTTAAATCTTTCCTTGAAAATTTAGGCTGTTTTAAAAAAAACATTTAAAACAATCAGCAATATGTCTTTTTTTTAGTTTTCGGGAAATATTTTTTTTTTTTTTTAACTATCAAGTTTTGGGTTTTTGCTTAATACTCCTATGCGACTAGACTACCATGCATCTCCATTGATTTATAGTGACTGTAACATGGTCACAACGCATGGTAGTCTAGTCGGATTGGAATATTGAGCGAAAATCCAAAACTTGATAACTTAAAAAAATTTCTCAAAAACAAAAAAAAAATCATCGCTGTTTTTTTTATAAATTGTGTAAAAAGCCTAATGTTTCAGGGCAAACCATAAAAAACAAATACAATCAATGTTTTTTTTAATACAAAATTTTATGTTTTGCTAAATTCTTCATTAAAAAAAAGTTTCAAGTACCTTTCATTTGATATTTCGATCTCTAAAATCAGTTAAGTGGTTCAAGAGCTATAAATGTTTGAAAAAATTCAAAGTCATTTTTGAAAAAAAATGATTTTTTGAACCACTCTAACATTGGAATGGTCGCCTTAATGACAAAAAAAATACGGGTGTAATAGTTTGCTATAAGGACCAAAATTATCAATATTTACGAAATTATGAGAACCTCTATATCGTTTTGATGTGGAATAGCTGAATAATAATATCAGGATCCGTTCATCTGTAACGAAATTCAACCATTTTCGCACAAGAGTTGAGCTAGCTGTCCATGTAAATGGCCAGCACCGTACTCAGTCGGTGGTGAAGGTCCTGAGGTGTGGAACAATTACTTGTATTTTACAAAACTTAACACAGATTTTTCTTTATGGGGGTACACTTTACGAGTACGAAAAATGTAACGAAAAGTGGTCAGCTTTTGAACGATTATAACTTGGCTACTTCATTGTATATTTTCAATATATTTGCATCAATGGATCGGAATTTTCTCTTCGTATCGATTCTGTTCAGAAACGAAGCAATCATTGGATGATGCCAGCTATCATAGTAGCCTGTGAAAATGTTGGAACTATAATTGTATTCATTCCCTGTCAAGCCGTCAAGACCTATTTAATAAGCAGTTCTCGATACTTGAATTACTTGTTTCACTGCGTCTGCATAGCTGTCAGGGTCGTCTGTCATGATATGAGTTCTGTGAAATCATCATGGCCAGTAATTGAACTAAAGCACTTAAAATCCGAATACTTGCCTAAGGGTTGGCGCTCCCAAACGCTGTGCCTAAATCCTTGCTGTTGGTGGGAGCGCAAGGTCAGGTTCTGTCCTGTAGATTGAGGGACTGAAATGTTTCTAATTCGGCAAGTTGATGGTCGTCAGTTTCTAACCAAGAATGCCATTCCATGAACTCAACAGATTGATACGGTTCACTTGTTGCTGTCGAATGAAACGGAATTAACAAATCGAATTGTGGACAAACGAAGTGCTCCTGTGGTAGTTTGACCGAAGTTTGACTGCACGACGGTTTTACGGGGCTTGTCGTTCGTGTGTGGCTTGGATGCCTTTCAGTGAAGTTTGACTCATTTACATGGATGAGTGGATTTATTTAATGGCGAATACATATCGAAGCATATTTCAAAAAGAAGAAGTAAACAAATGATTTACCCTTTGTGGAACCTTAACATTACTAATCATGACATGGCCAACAACCAGAAACAGTGCCGTATCGTTTTTGGAAACACGGCCCCATATGTTCATTTCCTCAATGTTGTGCCCAGAACACAACATTTTATGAAATATCAAGCGTCTAATCCCTAAAGAATGATCGAGTAATGTTATAAATCGAATAAAGCTTATAGATAGCATAACATGCAAAAATCATATGTTACCAATAATGGGAAGGCACTGTATTCTTATCTTTTTTGAAAATCTAGCAGCCTGTTTGTACTCTATAATGTTTATATATTTGTGTAAATTACGTTTTCATTGAGTTCCTGGAAGTTTAAAAACATATTTAAACGTGAACTATATTGCTCTAAGAATTGAATTTATTGAATTAATTTAGCCTCATCCGAACCTATCAAACCACCCCAAAAGTCTTTACACAGAAATTCTAAGAAAGCACGTCAACTTACTTTGCTTGACAGCATCGGTTTCAACATTATTTTCATTATAACAATCAGGTTGCTATGTGTATATAAGATATTGAGCAACGTGAGCTACTCAGAGTTACTCAAAATTAACTATGCTTTTACTCATGATCGAAAGCTGTCTTGTCCCCAGGATCGCAACTGTCACGTGGATAGCCTTATTCGCAAAACTAAACAGTGCTACCGTTTTATATAATATTGTTTGTGTCATACTTGTCAACGTGTTGCCTACGTGCCGAAAAGTGTGCCGTACTGTGTTTCGGCACAGTATGCAGAGTTGATTACCCCTTGACGCAGCTGAACAATGGTTGCTATGTTGCTAGGGTAAAGCAAACTCTTAAATCGTAGGTTACTACTCAACTACAACAAAAACTCGCATTTCTCGATCTTCTTGTCATCAGGGAATCGTCATTATCATGTACATATAAGAAGTTTACATGAAATCAACAGGCACCAAAAGAGTTATCCCTTATACTTTCAACCATTCGTTCCAGATAAAAATGGCCGGCTTTCCTTCACATGATTCATCGGATGTAGACTCTTCCACTCAGCGAAACAGGAAAGGTTAAGGAATTGCAGTACATCTTCGAAACAGCGAGACTCAACGGATACAAGGAGACCACGATCCAGGCAGTCATCGATGAAAAAGCGAAAATTCTGCATAGAAGATTATTTACAACCCTCACCGCAGCATCTGAGCCCTTGAAGCAAGTGTCAGTTTCAATTGATCAAGATATTTCTTGTAAGCTAAAACCGCAGTTAAAAAACCGGATTTAGTTTTCAATAGAAGACATAACCAGTTAGTATCATTGTTAGGATTAGGTTGAGCAGGTGTATATAAAATAAGCTGTAATCATTGTAACAAAATATATGTAGGACAAACCATGAGAACTTCAGCAACTAGATTTAAAAAACCTTATAATTAAGGTATAGTTTTTCAAAAAAGGAGATACTGAAGATATGAATCTAAATCTTTAATTAAAGGTACCGTCTGATTTGCTTGATAAATCACTTTGAAGAACTTTTTAGATGATGTTGATAAAGATTCCTAGGAAATTTTGAGCAGAATTCTGAATGAGAGAGTTTAAAAGAGAACTTGAAGGCGTGAGTGCAGAGTAGAATTGTAAAGAAGTTCTGTGGAAAATTCTATAACGATTGTGAAGAGGATTTCAGGATCTGCTAAAATTATTGAGGGAAACGAATTCTATAGCATAGTTTTAAAAGTATTTATCACGCAGTCAAGCGGTTCTGGGACGACCTTCTGCCAGTGATAATAATAAAATTAAGCAACTCATAGCTGAAATTTTTGGAAGAGCATACATAAATAAGACCCTATTCTCTGTATGAGGTGTACGGTTTTCGGTCCACGTGGTACTCAACTCACGAGTTTAATTTAACCTGGCAGTTGGGACACGGCTGTACTATTTTGTCTGCAGCGGTGGTATTGGACATATTTCAAATATAGCGTCTTGCATAAGAATGTCAATGTCATCCCTATGAGATGTCACGTCGATTCATCAGTGATTGGTCACTGCAATCATTTTCTACTTACTACCTACTAGACACGCGTTTGATTAATGAGCAGGAGTAATACTATGTTACATAATAAAATCGAATTATAGTCGACACAACCGTTGGTTACCTGACTGCGATTGACTACGAGCTGAATTAGTCCTCATCGCTGGCAGCTAGTATGAAGTACATTGCAGTTGTTTCATTGTTCCTTTGTATCGTCGTTGGGGAAGATAGTGTTCATGACGTAGCTGGCGTTTGCAACAATAAAAAGTTCAATTCTACGGCCATACCGGATAATTTTCAATTCGAAGGATTCATCCATCGAGTAGTTCCCAATAATGTTGGAAGGAATCCGTTCAACATGTTCCAAGACTGGCACCTGTACCATCCGGAATGCATGAGGTTGTAGGTAAAAACCAACGCTCGACAATCTGGTAACATCACGATTCGTTGTCGCTGTGAAGACGTTCCGGAACAGCTGACAGTACGACAAACTGTGTCGTCGGTGTCATCACCGAGATTCATTTGGAAATACGAGCACTTCCGTACACTACAGTTCAATCACTACATGTTGTTTACCCTTGTTGGATGCTTAAGCGGCGTTAGATCGGCTTTCACCGATGGAATGATACAGGGTTTTAAAGGCACTCCGGATACATATGAATTTGAGGCCGAGTTTAGACATCGGTGGAGAAACTGCAACTACCGAAACGAGTTCATATTACACGAAAGATATTTCCATCAACACGGAGA